TCGGGGAAGTTCGCCTCCATGTACTTCCTGATGACGTCCATCTTGTCCGAGTCCAGGATGAGCTGGCCCACGTTGCCGAGGCAACCCGGGCGCTCCGGCGTCCGGCGCTCCTCGAACACCTCGGGGAAGAGCCGGTGCATGAGGAAGATGACGAAGTCCTCGGGGGAGGAGAACTCGTCCAGCTCCTCCTCGGTCGGGGTGCTGAGTTCAGGTTCGGAGGGATCCGGCTCGTCCACGGAAACCGTCTCCTCCTCGCCCTGCTCGTTGATGAAGCGGTAGGACTGGGGGCGCTCGGTTTTTATCCCGGCGCCTCCCCCCCCCCCCGCCCGCCTGCTTCCTGAGCAGCCGCGCGCTCTCCATGTCCCTTTGCGCCCAGAAGCGGTTGAAGAAGTCGTTGACCTGGAGGTGAGTAGGGATGGGGATCGTTAATATTCAAGATGGTATATGTTGAGGATTTGTTGTTAATTATAAGTGAGAATATATCTACCATTTGCGTTTCCCATCAATTTAGATGGTGTTCAGCTCACCATTGAAGGCTAGAAACGTTTTTGTTCTGCTCACTTGTTAAGCAATAAAAGCAATACCAGTTCTGTTAAAAACATATTGTCGCATCGTCTTTCCACCAAATAACAGAAAAGTATCGATAGTGGTATCGATAAAGACTCGGATCGATAAGGAGTATCGATAAAGGTATCGATATCAATAAATATTAACGATCCCCATCCCTAGTCCTTGATACAACCGGGTTTCGATCCCCATCCTTGCTTCTCATAGAAGTGTTGTGTTGTGCACCAAACACCAAGGCAAATTCCTTGTAAGTCTTAAAACCTACTTGGCAATAGGGCTGTCACGATACTAAAATGTTCATCTCGATACCGATACTCAGGAAAATACTCGATACTCGATACCATTTTCGAGGTACAAGGATAAAAACAAAGACCCCAAAATTTAACTGAATTTTGACAGGTTAATGTCTTTGGTTTCAAACTGACCTGTAACTGATGTTATGGTGGCCCACATTAATGACCCTAACCCTAACCCTGACCTTGACCTTAACCCTAACCCTAAACCTAACCCTGACCCTAAACCTAAACCTAACCCTGACCCTGACCCTAACCCTGACCCTAACCCTAACCCTCCACCCTTCATAATTGTGCTAAATTTATTTTTTATTTTTGGTTAAACTTGTTTGGACTCATTGTAAAAAGCTATTTAACATACACTATTTTAACATTAACTATTATGGATAGAGTTTAATTAAGTGCTTGAAAGATTAATTTCACTATTTCTAAATTAATGTATATATTGCCATGAGGCCTGGAATTTTCCTATTGGTGATGTAATAAAAATAGCGGACTTGGATGTGGGCGGAGTTAGACATGTACTTGACTAATGTTGGCGTGTTGTTATTAGCCGTTAGCCGCAGCTAGCAATTCAAGGTTAATGTCACGTTAATGATCACAAACGACGTAAAAAAATACATAAATAAATCTGTATCGATAGTATTGATACTTTTTTGAGTATCGATCCTTTTGACAACCCTACTTGGCAATAAACCTCATTCTGATTCTGATTCTGATCCCTACCTGGAGGAGGCACTCCTCCTGCCAGACGCCGTTGGCCTTGACGGAGGGGTAGCAGACCTCCACGTAGTTGCGTATGAGCTGCAGGTGGAGCGACTCCAGGGTGCGTTTGCTGGCCACGCAGTCGTGGCCGCACTCCCTGGCTTTAAAAAGCTCCGGGAAGAGGTGCACCAGCAGCCGGCAGCCCAGCTCCCCGGGGCCCGAGGTCTGCTCCATTAGCTGGTTCAGCTCCTCGCTGGTGAGGAGGTATTCGGGCGGGGGCTGGAACTCCGTCACCTTCTCCGCGGGCGGCTTGATCTGCTTCTTTATCCGCATCACCTCCAGGGTCAGAAGGTCCACCTTGCTGTGCAGCTGGGTCATGCTGGAGTTCAGCGTGTTGAGGATGAAGAACATCTTCTCGATGGGCGGGTACAGGCTGGTTTGGGGGGGGGGGGGCGGGGTGAGGGCCGGGGGGGGGGGGGGCTCCGAAACCCCGTTCTGCTCGGGGTTTTGCAGCTTGGAGGAGAGGAGCCCGCAGAGGTCCAACTGGTTCAGGTTCAGCCCCCCGTGGTGGAGGTGGTTCTGGGTCTGGGTCTGGGTCTGGGTCTGGTTCTGCGGCTCCAGAATGGGCGGGTTCCTGCGGTCGGAGATCCGGTGGGAGATGCTGAAGAGCGGCTTCCTGTAGGAGGATCGGGACTTCTCTCCCGCCGTGGAGAGGCAGAGCGGCTCGTGCCGGCCGCCATCGTCCGGGAAACGCCGCCTCATCTGGAGGGAGGAAACGGAAAAAAAAACAGATAAAAAACAGATAAAAACACATGGCAGCTTCTCTGTCTAGTCCAGTGTTTTTCAACCTTTTTTGAGCCAAGGTACATTTTTTCATTGAAAAAATCACGAGGCACACCACCAACCAAAAATTTTTAACAAATCTGTAGCCGCCTATAGTAACACTATAGTTATTCTTATTTTATTCTTTTCTTATCTTAAGTGTCTCGAATAGGAATCAAATAAACACAAAAATG